ATGAGTTTCTGAATGCGCTGAATTCCTTTCCTCCAAAACATCCACACACGGCAGCACCTTAGAGAGATCTTCTTGACGTTAGGATCTTCCATACCTTTAAAGATCAACTGGATAAAAGGACATACCGGGCAGAAAGGCAACGAACGAGCGGATGAACTAGCTAAGACTGCAGCTCTCAAACAGAAATTGACAAGGAAGTTCCGCTTTCCGCAGAAGTTGCAAAAAAGGCTCCTCAAGACAGCATTTCCAAGAGACATGGGCATCACGATGGTAGGAAGAAGAGAACAGGAAGATTTACTTACAACATCTTCCCAATACCTTCTCTCAAGCGGCTGAAATGCAACCGACCTTCCTCCAAGCCTGTTACCAACCACGGGAAATTCCCAGCGTATTACAGACGTTTCCTCAGACGGGACGTCAACTGTTCTTGCGGTTTTCGGGGGAAGACGCGGAGACACTTCATTACCTGCTCTCCTGCCCTCTGACAGAGCACCTTCGACAGCAGTTCTTTCCTTCCGACTACATCACATATCCTGTGAATAGACTGTTCACGGACTATTACTGCAACAAGGGCATCTTAGAGATAATGAAGCAAGTGAATGAAAATAATTATATCCAAGAAACTACAGATTAAAGTAAAATGTAGAAAGGCGGCCTAACCGTCAGATTGCTAGCAATGAATAGGATAACTTCCTAACCCTGTAGTGCCATTAACTCAGTTTGGCGGAACAGGTTAAGTAAAGTGACCATATAGCATGCAAAAGGGCATAGCCAACCGGACACGTTCGTACTAGGAGTGCCAAAGATCTAAAATTGTAAGACGCACCACCAGCCAACTTAAAAATTTTAATTTGCCCTCATCTCACTTCAATCACGTGCACCTCGACTTGGTCGGGCACTTATATTTATTATCAATAGTATAATACATTAATACAATTAATTACTATGTATGCATTTTTCTTACCTTGGATGAAGTAAATTTATCATTTACTTCATTAAAGTCGATCCTTTCAAATTTTTCTCTTTCCACACTTAAAAATGCTAAATGACTTAGGGGATCTTGTCCCTTAGTTGATTGTAAATATGTGAAAATTTATTTTAATTTGCTGAATGAACGTTCATAGTTAGCATTTGATAATGAAATAGTTAGTAGTATTTGAAGTGCGACTCTTAGGTTTGGAAAAACATTTTTTCTAAAGATCTGTAGTGGAGTTTTAGGTTCCGTTTCTTTTCTACTGCAAATTAACGTCATGCAGTCACATTCACTGCTCAAAAGAATTAGGGGACATTGTGGGTTCGGTAGGAAATAACCATATAATCAACAACCTTTTTGAACAAAAGGAAATAGAAGAGATTATAAAGGAAAATTATAATGTTTACAAAGTTGGGAATATGCAAATTTAGTATTTGACGTCGAAAACTATGCGTTTTAGATAAGGAGTAAGGAGCGACCTGCAGTACGCCTTTTGTAATAGGAGATTAAAAACAATTGACATGCATTGAATGCCTTGTAGCAATGAATATACGATGTGTCAGCAAGATGACTTAGTTGATTCGGTAGCCAGAAAGGCCATCAGTCGTTTACAGGAGAGTCAAATGCAATCCATTGTAGCGGAAGAGTTAAGATTTTTCCAAAATGTCATTTCCAGATTGTGGAATTGGATTTCAGAAGCTGGATATGTTTGAAAAATTCGGGACGAGGTCGTGTTATCATTTTAAAATAAAAAGCGGGAGATATATGTGCATTTTGTTTCAAAAAATTAAAATATATCTCTACTTTGGAGAAATAAAGTGGTCCAAAAGAACGTTTTGGTTCATGTACTGCAAACATTTTATTGCACATTTTATCAGACAAATCAAGAAAATAAAGAATTAATTATATTACAATAGTTATTAATTTTAAATATATTTTCCAGAAATTGATCAAAATAAAAACTGAAATTTTCCAGAAAATCTTGTTTGGTGACCATTTGGCGCCCCTCTACGAGAGGCGCCCTGGGCAACAGGCATCCCCTTGCCCCCCTCGCTACGCCACTGGGCCTATAATCTGTGAAATTCTCTAAATATAACAAAATTGGGTACTGTTCTGTTATTGGGACTGGATTCAGATATCACCAAAAGCTGGCACTTTGGCAAAAAATTTGAAGCATAAAAATAATCACCAAAATATTTACAATATCATTAAGTTCAAAAATATCCAAAAGAAAAAAGAAATTAAAAATTTTAATGTAAATTTGACTACTTTGCAAAGAAATCACAAAACGAATCAGTTTGGGAATCAATATTAGCATGGAGGCATGGAACTGTGGATATCATTTAAAATGTCTGAAAACATTTGCATTTTAGGGCGCCGCCACATAAAGTCAATTAAATAAAAATCTAATTGCTTACGGTCAGTGCCACAGTGATGCTTGTTTCACCGTTTCGCACTGCTCCATAACTTTTCAATAGTTTGTGTGTGACAACCAGTATCATGATTGATAAAATTATATCTATGGTTAACATAGAAATGTTTAAATCCAACCACTTTCAGTTCTTCAGTGTTATATCCTTTCCAACAGTATAATTATATTGTAGTCGCATCAATAATATTTTCCTCGATAACTTTAAGCAAAGTTCTGGCAGAGCAGTTAAACACAGTAACTAAAAAACATTCTTTTGTTTCTCAGAAAATCCTACCGCACAGCCACTGAGGCAGAAGGATATGACCAACCTTGCTTTTTTGATGTGAAAACAGGCTTTCGTCAACTTCAACAATATTGTCAGTGCTGCCTATTTTAACTGACAGTCTAGACATTAATACATGGCCGCAGACTTCCCTCATATCACTATTCCAGTCAACAGCAGTGCAATGATTCAAAATGTGAATCATTGCACTGCTGAGAAATGCAATGATTGATATGAGGGAAGTTGATGCTGACAAAATTCTAGGGAAGTTAGCATTAATCTTTGAATTATGGTAACTTGGCGATTTTTGGCGAAAATTTGGTGACCAACCTTGCTACAGCAACCTACTAGTTTGTTTTTGGACGCCATTTTGTTTTCACGAAGAAAAGGCATGTTTTTTTTAATCAACATTTTTTTCCAACAATCTGCTAGCCGAATTTACGCTATGCTAGACTTTATGGAACAAAAGTGCTTACTCATGACGAAGATTAGGTGCGAAATTGGGAGAAAGAAATCCGCCCACTGCTTGTCGTTTTTTAAGAATTGCACATACACGGTATCATCCTGTACACGTCGACCTGTTTTCACTTAAAAACATCCCAGAATTGCACAAAAATGGCATTGTGCACACTCTTGACTTTATCCATGTACACTGCTAAAGTCCTAGCTAGTAACCTTTATCGCCTTGCCAAAATGTCGCCAAACTACCTGTTATCATATTCCAAAGATTAGCCTAAACTAGTTTAATTCATTGAGGCCGATTGGTTAAGACCACTGAATACTGAGAGTTCGATCCCTGGCAAAAGCGGTGGCTGCATGGTTGGTTTCGTGGTTTTCCTCACATCTAAGGTGAACATGAACCAGTTTTCATTCCAAAAAGTCATCTTCTCTTTAGGCTTGCCATATTCTATTAACTTAACCCTTTGAGAATGAATTGAAGTTTAAAAATTTTTAAATGTAATTTCATTTCATGGATTACACAATTATTTAGATATCTCCTTCCTTCGTATTACTAAAAATATGCATTTTTTACCATTCCATTAAAAGTGAAACTTAATTAGCTTTTTGTAATTAAAAAAATTTGATGTATACACCACATGACTTACTTGCACGGAATATTAAATTCTACGCATTTTTCTTGCATTTCATTTAAACTTATTGGATTGAATTAAATCTACATCTTCGATAGCACATAAACCACAATAAAATAAATGCACATTTTAAAATTCACTATATTTGTTTACCATAGCGACATTCTGGAACTAGGTTCACTTAACAGCGTTATATTGCGTTCATATTGTAACTCAGAATGCACAAAATCTATATCATTTAGTTCTAAACACCAAGTATAAATAAAACGAACTGCCATTAAGAAACTGATTCTAGATCCTTCAAACCAATTTTGAGAGCGTAATCCTTTTTTTTCCTCGGCACATCATATCTTCACCATCTCCATTTCGGTGCTTCTTTTGAACTGAAGTCGAGCTTCATTGTAAAGTTTAGCTAGTAACCTTTATTGCCTTACCAAAATGTCGCCAAACTACCTGTTATCATATTCCAAAGATTAGCCGAAGTTAGTTCTAAACACCAAGTATAAATAAAACGAACTGCCATTAAGAAACTGATTCTAGATCCTTCAAACCAATTTTGAGAGCGTAATCCTTTTTTTTCCTCAGCACGTCATATCTTCACCATCTCCATTTCGGTGCTTCCTTTGAACTGAAGTCGAGCTTCATTGTAAAGTTTTTTGTGCAATTTCTTTCAGAGTGAATTATTCCTCATGCCTGAAAAAATTTTATGGCAGATCTCATCTCAAATTTTTATATCCATGATAAATAAAATAGTCTAGTCATAAAAACACAAGTGACCATTACATCTTTAGAACTTGTATTCTTGTTACCAAATTTGAAAAGGTATACTTTTACTTAAAAAAAAGAAAATGGTTTAGTTTTATAATGAATTAAAAAAAAAAAAAATTGGCGATTTCATATGAGCCAGTCTATTGTTGAATTTAGCGAAGCATTTGATGACGATTCCGGTCCCGATAAACAGAACAGTACCCAAAATTACACGGACCATGGAAGTTTTTCTGTATTTAATAAAACATTCAGTTGCAAATTGCATGGGTCATTGAAATTTTTCTATATTTAATAAATTATTCAGTTGCAAAAATTGTGCTGTAATTCTTATAGGATCTCTTTCACTTGTTGCCCATATAATAACTGAGCTACAAATTGAACTACTTTGCCAAACTTCATTTCCTAAGTATTAAAAGTAAACTGATTTAATGATGTCAGTGAAAGAATAAACAATAGTCATTTTTATTTAAATACTAGGATAAAGATGGAGATCGAGCTGTTCATCATGCAGCATTTGGGGATGAACCTGGTGTTATGGAATTATTAGCTCGAGCTGGAGCTGATCTAAATGCTCGTAATAAAAGGCGGCAGACACCTTTGCATATTGCCGTCAATAAAGGGCATGTAGGTGTTGTCCGAAGCATTTTAGAACTTGGATGCCGCCCAAGTCTTCAGGTTTGTAGCACTAAGAAACTGAAATCCAGATATTTAAAATTTCTTCAGATATTAATTTTTGCCAGATCTCAACAATTTTTAAATGCTTTCATTTTATGCAAATTAGGATTCAGAAGGTGATACACCCCTGCATGATGCAATAAGTAAAAAACGTGATGACATGCTGACTTTACTTTTGGACAATGGGGCAGACATATGTCTTACAAATAACAATGGTTTTAATGCATTACATCATGCAGCACTTCGTGGCAACCCAAGGTATGTAGTTTGATGTTTCCTTTTAAGATTTTCAGAGAAATTCTTTTATATCTGAACTATATTATTACTTATGTTACATGTCTGAAAGTAACATCAGAATAAGTTCATGAATTTATCTTGACTAGCATGATTGAATTTATTGTTGACATGGTATTCTATAGATGATAGAACGATTGTCCAGTTCCATCACTGTTTTGAATGAAAATCTCCTGGGGAAACAACTCCAGTGGTCTCTTACCTCACTTTTCCTAAAGCCAAGCCATTTGAGATGACTGTTAGCTCACTGTGTTAGTTTTAGTACCCATGCTGCAAAGGCACTAAACACTAGCTCACTGTGTTAGTTTTAGTACCCATGCTGCAAAGGCACTAAACACTTACAAACATTGAAGTATGGACTCTAAGATAAGCATCTCTGTCGTGCTTAGTATTGCTGGCTTGGTACTATTCACTATACTGATCAGGGTGTCATATTCAATGTACAATATAGGTTATAGTATTTTAAGAAGTTATAGAATAAATGAATATTTTTATTTTAAACTATTTGAGAGATGTAATGTTATTAATTATATTCAAAGACCTGGGGGGAATTTATGTCCCCCCCTTCTTTTATTTTAATTGAAGTAGTAATGCCATATGTATTAATAATAGGAATAGTGTCTGTATTATGAGTTGCTTTAGGAGGAAAAGTATTCATGTTCCTGGATGTAACAGATTGCATATTGGGGGGAAAGCAATTTTTATCTACATGCTAAGAGGGAAGAAGCATTTAAGTCCAATTTCCTATATCATGCTTATTAATTTCCATGATTATAGAAAATCCTCCACATGCCATTTTGTTGTACCGGTCCTAAGATCTTTCTTAACATTTTTCTTTCAAAAGTTGATATCAGGTCTTTCTCTGCTCTGTTAAGTATCCAACATTCACTTCTGTAAATGGCAACCAGCCTTATTAAAGTTTTATATATATTTAATGAGTTTTTTACGTTGATTAGTTTAGTTAGTTTTTACATTGATTAGTTTGGATTGAAGTTGTTTTTTAAGGCTGTAGTAACATCTGTTAGCCATACATATTCTATTCTTTATTTCAATTTTTATATCATTGCAACTTGGGATCAATGAGCCCAGATATTTAAATTGTTTTACGGTTTCAAAGATATAACTGTTTATCTTCAAGGGGGATAAATCAACAGTTTTATTAGATGTAATCATAAATTTTGTTTCATCTTCATTAATAATTAGGCCCATCTTTCTTGCTGCATTTTCAAGTGAGACAAAAGCCTCAACCACAGCTCATTTTGATTGCCGAATGATATCAATGTCATCAGCAAAAGCCAGCAGTTGAATGGTTCTGTGCAAGATGGTTTCACTTGTGTTTATTCCGGAGTCTCTTATGTCCTTTTCTAAGCTATATTAAAGAGCAGACAAGATAGTGAGTCTCCCTGTCTTAATCCTTTCTCAGTATAAAAAGGTTCTGAAAGGTATGTCAAAATTTTTACTCTACATATGACTTTTAAGGTCATCCTTGTGAGGCTTATCAGTTTCTTCGGGATATGGGGATTAACAAAACTTAGTTTTTCTCTGTTAATACTGTCATAGGCGCTTTAAAGTCAATAAACAGGTGTTGGATCAATGTTATATTCTTAGTTCTCTTCCAAAATTTGTCTATAGGCAATTGATCAGTTGTGTTTTTCTCTTCTGGAATCCACACGGGGAATTCATAACATAGAAGTAGATGTAAACAATCGTTTATACAAAATAATGTATGGAGATATTTTATATGCTGAACTCAGTAAGGTAATTTCTCTGTAATTACAATTTTAGCTTGTCTTCTTTTTATAAAAAAAACAAACTCAATGGCCATTTTCCGTTCATTGCAATCAATTAGATATGGATTGCTTTATTTGCTTTGGTTGGTTGTTTCATTGATTTAAAGATCTGCCTGTCATCCAGTCAAACTGATTATTATTATTTAACTTTTAATTGCCAGTTCGATCATTATAGAGTTGGGGATTAAGCTCCATAATCTCACATTCACACAATAGCATGTTATAAATGTTATCTCTAGTTTCCTCTCTATACCCAAAGCAGACCCTTAAAAATTTATGCAACAACCAGAACCGTCTATGTCTCTGGTGATTTTCCCATTTTTCCCCCCCCCGCAATTGTTCTGGGGGAAACAGCCTCATATATTATTTATCAGCTGATAAATTCCTAGCTTTTTCTTTTTAGATCAGTATTCCTGTAAACTTCATCCAGGTATAATCACTTTTTCTTCTCCTCTCTTCTTAATCCTTGTACCTTTCATCTGCATTTCTAGTGTAATGTCTTTGAATCATTAGTCTATATGCCTCATTCTTTTTTGTAATCTCACTGCATTCCTCTTCAAACCATTGATTACGTTTGCTTTTTTGGTATTCCGATAATGTATTCTCAGATGCTTCAAGAATAATTCTCTTTAGATTTTGCCAAGCATCTCAGCTATCGGGGTTTCCCCAGTTGTTGACATTTTATTCTGTAGTTCTCTCCTATACTTCTCAACGTAGAGTTGACAAGGGGGCATTCTCCAACAGGGGGGGAAAGAAGGGGTTGACGGGAGGCGGTTCGTGTAGAGATACGGAGCCGGTGAGAGTATGTGTGCTTAACACGCGGACGAAACGTCGCGGAGAGTGAAAAGCAAGGAAAAACACGTGGGAGAAAACACCGGTAAAAACTCGTAGAATCTGTCGTCGGAAATAAAAGTTTACAACAGATCTTTCGGTATGTGGGAACAAAGGGTATCTACAAATCATCGCGGACGAACACGCGGATGGGGACAGGTGGGAGATAAAAATGGGAGTTCCCAAAGAGTTAGCAAAGATAAAGGCAGGAAATAAAGCGGTTTGTTTAACTTATATTTTTGCGAAAAAGGATGTGGGAAAAGAAAATCTAAATGCATGGAGAACACGCATGAAAATTCCAGTGAAAACTTTCATAAAAATGGATATTAACGATTTGTGAGCGCAAGAAAGTACAGAAGTTGCATTACTTTCGACAATTTTTTATTAAGCAAAAAAGGAAAAGGAGGAAAATTATGAAGAAAATTAAACGCAACAAACATTCGGGACTATCACGTTTATAGATTTTTAAACCTGAAAAAGCAGGCATGTATGCGCGTTTATCGTCATGCGAGATTTGTAAGTGCTCTTGTTTTTACCAGCAAATTGACGACGTGTTTTAAAACTGCGGGTAAAAAATTTTTGGATGCGCCCACGATTTTCGGATTGAAATGGCAGTTTGGGCTTGCGTTTTTTGACGACGTTTTTACACGCGCGATGTTTTCGGCTGTAACCATCAGGATGTGATCATTTGATTTATTTTTAATTTCCATTGGGATTCCCGGGGACATATGTATATTTTAGCTTGAATGCTGTTACTCCAATATCATATTATCAGAAATGGCCAAGTCATACCCTCTATACCCCGGCGTAGCTGTGGTTTCCCAAGGTTAAGAAACACATTAAGTCTTCATGTGACCAATCGGCATTAAAATCACCCAATATACGTTTATATCATTGAGTGACATTCACTGTGAGTTTATCAAGAAGATCATAAAATGTTTTTTTCCCTCCCCTTATCTCAGGGAAGGCAGGGGCAAAAATAGTATTCTAAATCCACTATATTTTCATTGTCAATGACATCGTAATATTCCAGTCGCAGCAATTCGATCTGAGATAATATGTCCGAAACTATATCCAATTTGATTTGAAGGCACATCTTATCAGCAATTTGATCTGAGGTAATATGTACGAAACCATGTCCAATTTGATTTGAAGGCACATCTTGTCAGCATTCAAAGCTAAATCAAAAAAGTTTCAAATTTCATGATCCTAGTTTTAAAGTTTCCCCAACATTGATTAAGCACTTATAGTTTTTCATCTGATGACATCTGATCTATTTGATTTTAATTTTTTCATTTGGAGATCTCCAGGGGACATTATGTATATTTTTATGCTTGAATGCTGTACTCCCAATCATCATATTATCAGAAATGGCCAAGTTCCTAAGTCCATTCTCATTTGACTCCCTGCGTAGACTGTGGTTTCCCAAGAAACACATTTAAGTCTTCATTGTGACCAATCTGTGCATTAAAATCACCCAATATAAGTTTTATATCATTTGAGTGACATTCACTGTGAGTTTTATCAAGAAGATCATAAAATTTGTTTTTTCCCTATCCCCTTTATCCTCAGTGAAGGCATGGGCACAAATAAGTATTCTAAATCCACACTATATATTTTCATTGTCAATGACATCGTAATATTCCAGTAATATAATGCTTTTACCATTCAAAATGACAATTTATTTAACCGATCCTTCTCTGGCTATTAATGGGCCATAAATATGTTGTGTTATTTCTGAGTGGACTCTAATATAAATTTAAAATACAAACGCAATTTAAAATTTTTTAATATTTTATTTAACCTTTCATATCTTGCTTCCGATGAAGCAATGAAACAAGTGAACGACTAAAAGTTTTTAAAAACTACATTATCGTAGCAACATAGTGTTGCCATATTAAGCAATACAAATATAGCCAATTTAATGCCACAAATGATCAGCTGTTTTACAGAGTTGCATTACCAATCACTAAATAATGTACCTTATTTTAGGTTAATTTTTAAACTTTTATAGAATTTTAATTGCTGATCTTTAAAGTTGAAACACCATGATAAAAAGGGAGCTAAATCATATTTATTTTACTAATATCTAATAATACAAAAACAGAGTGATTAAAACTTCATCCAGTTTGAACGTGAAGAAATCGATATCTCATGCATTATTGCCCTCAAGGCTCCCTTTTTTGTAAGTATGAGCGTGCCAATCCCAAGGTACTTTAACCCTTCAGGGGGACACCATCTTAATGAGATGAGTGTCGCAATCCTTTAGCTCCAGTGATTTTTCGCCTTTTTCTCTTTTCTTATCTGTGACTTTTCCCACTACATGGTTTCCGCTTCGGAGGA